CACCATCATTAAGACCATACTGCACTTTTCATTCTTTCTGCTGCCTTGGATTCTTTGCTTAGATGTCTTCGGAACACTCTGCTGACATCTGATGTTTATTTTCCCACTAACGAGAAAATTGAAATTTGTAGTATCTGTTTCCAAGTTACATTGTAGGCATAGGTGATGGGTGATTTTGTTTTCTTTCCTGTTGGTGATTTTCTGGAAGCTATGTGGAAGGAATTGCATTTAGAAGAATATAATTGTTGACAGCCTTTTACTACTAAAATAATCAATGTTATCAACCTAGACTTCGGACTGTTTTAGGTGTTTGAATTTCCTTTTCTTTATAATAAGTGGGATTTCTTTATAATACTAGAGATGAATGTTAAGAATAGAGGAAAAGAATTGCTGCCACTTTTCAGATAAATATTCATTCTCACTACTCACTTGACCCTTACTAGACCTTTACTAGACCCTGACTAGACCCTTACTTCATCCCACAAGACTATTTGAAAGCCTTCTTTGAAAATAATCAAGGAATAGAAGAGGCCAAATTATGAAACTAAAATTTTTATCAGTTATAGTGTCCTGGTTTACAAACATTTTTATTCAGAGCATCCCACAAGGGCCCAAAATACCCAATTTCTAAATACTATATGTTAACCAAATATGTTAGATACAGGAAACCCTACTGTGAGTTAATGAGTGTCTTTGTTAACCTAGAGGAGGCTTCACTGAAGCTGTATTTCATGTTATTCCTTTTTTTGATGCCCTAGTTCTTACACTTGGGAAGTATACACCATCATAAAATTTTATGTTCATGAGCACTAGGCCTTTCTTTTGAATAGTGAAGGGAAGGACTATTTGAAAGGAAAAATTGAGGGACTTCCTTGATGAGTCCAGTAGCTAAGATACATTGGTATCTTAAATAAAATCAGAATTATCTTATTAGTGAAAAAAGAAAGTCTTTTATATAGGTATTGTGTAGTTAGGTAGTCTCTACATCTTCTGACCAATGCCAAGAATTAGTAGGCCTGAGTTAGGGTACCTATGGATCTGCTCTGTTATTCCTCATAGTTCTCTATATGCTTTAAAATAGCTCATAATAAGTTTTAAAAATAATAAATGAATTAATTAATGAATGATAGTTCTATGTCTAGAGTCTTTGGACATAAGCAGATAGAGGTGAAGTAAGACTAAGTTCATTCTCAGGTTTTATTTCCTAGATGAAATGATCCAGAGTCTTTAGCCTCACTTCAGGTTCTCCCCAGTCATCCAAACAAAGAATCAGCCAAAGGTAATCTGGGTTTGGTGTGGTTTGGCATCTCTCCCAGTCACCCTACTCGTGTATGTGAGATTTCTCTGACCTGGGTGTTCACTTCATGTCTCTCCTTTTGTTAACTGTTTGTCTCTCACACTGTCTTAGCTGTGACTGTGTGCATACTTCCATGTGGGCTTAAAAGTGTGCATGTGTGCATGGGGTTTCCCTTATGGCACAGATGGTGGAGAATCTGCCTGCAATGCAGGAGACCTAGCTTTGATCCCTGTGTCAGGAAGATCCCTTGGTGAAAGAAGCAGCAACCTAATTCAGTATTAGTGCCTGGAGAATCCCATGGACAGAGGAGCCTGGCAGGCTACAGTCCACGGGGTTGGAAAGAGTTGGACATGACTGAGCAACTATGCATATAGGTTTATACATGTGGTTTGTGTTTGTTCATGGACCCAAGAATGATTTTTTTCTAACTTAAATTATGCATTCATTTTTATCCTGGTTTGATCAGTTTTGAGTTTTACTTAAAATTTTGGGAGATCTTGTTGTCTCACCAAAAAACCACAGGGCTAAAATCTTGATGACTTGAGTTATAGTCCTACCTCTGCCCTTACTGACTGTATAAACTTGGCCAGTTTACCTTCCCAATATAATTGTTAAGAGATCAGAAGGTTGGAAGGGATGAGTTAAAAGGGTCCTGTGAGTGCTGATTCTAAACCTCACCATATGGCATTTCTGAACCGGAAATGACAGCTGTGACAGTGTCCTGAGGTGAGAGGAATAATCTCCAACCTCTTCGTCCTCTCCGCCTCCTTTACTACCCCATCTTTTTCTCTTGACTCCATTTTCATTGATCCCCTTTTCTCCTTGCCCCATGCCCCTGTCTTCTACCTGATTTTCTCCATCCAGTGTATTTCTAACAGAAGAAGAAGCTCCTGTGATTGGCCAAGTGAATTGAAGGATTTGGCTCATCACTGGGCTGTCAAATGAAACAGCCGAGTTTCTCCAGGTATGATGTATCTGAGTCAACCTGAGTGTGGAATCTGTGTCCTGTCCTGTTCCCCTTTCTAATCAGACACTTGAGCCATAGTTACCTCTGCCCTGAAGCTTTCCATTCTCCAGCCTGAGGACATGGGTCTTGAAATGTTGTGAGCCCCACGTCTATGCCCTTTCCCATAGAAACTTACCCAGCCTGATTGTTGGTTGTTTTTTTATCTGGGCACAAATGGTGGAGGGTTTAAGAGCATGGACCTCAGGAATCAAAAAGCCTGGGTAAGAATTCAAGCTTTGTGACTTTCTGTCTGTGTCACCTTAGGTAAATTCCGTATTTTGTCTGATCCTTAGTTTCCTGGTCCAGATGCAGGTGCTAGGTAAACTGCTTTTCGGTCTTCATATAGGAGCAGTCTTGGGAATTCAGTTTTTGAGTTGGCCTTGAGGTTTCCCACCTAGCTAACCATGTTTTTTTTTCTTTTTTCTTTTTTTTTTTTAACTGCTGATTATGGCATTGGAGGATACTATGAACCTCATGTGGATTATTTTTTGGTAAGAGCAAAACATCGTTCCTTTGGACTGTGTTTCAAGTGGCAGGAAAAGATAGCAACTCACATGGAACGTTTGGCCTCTACCTCAGGGTCCTCTAAATTCTCAAGGATACATCTTTGGGTACTGTCTTAAAATTAGACTCAGAAGAGAAAACATTTTATTGTCTTCTAGTGTGCTGCTGCCTCCTCTAGGCACCTGGACTTGAGATAAATTCTTGGGGTAGAAAGTGATGGAGAGAGAACTACACAGAGTCTTTTCCTCCTACCTATGTCCCCTCTCTTGTGCTAGAAGGTTCCTTAGTCTCTTCAGGCAGACCTCATTCCTCTGTTGATAGGAAGAGCACTTGAGTCTATTGCTCTGAGTTCCAGTACTTCAGCCTTGCATAATTCCCTAGTGTGGCTGAACCAGACACTGAGAGAAGATTACTGTTTGTGCTCTGGGAACATCAAGCTGAATCAGCAAACAAAACACCAAATGTTTTTTCAGCACTTTTGATATCCTGGTTACTCTCCTAGGATCCTAGGGATAGGAAGGCAAAAAAAAAAAAAAAAATCCCATTTTCAAACAGGCATGTTTTTTTGTGTCACACGTGTGAATAGTTACTGTCTAAGTTACTGAGTAAGTGCTATAAAGAAGGTATGTGCAGTGTCCTGAGACCCAGTGAACAGGCATGCAGCCTAAATGTTCAGAAAAGACTTCCTGGGAGAGCTTGCTGCTGCTGCTGCTAAGTCACTTCAGTGGTGTCTGACTCTGTGCAACCCCATGGACTGCAGCCTACCAGGATCCCCCGTCCCTGGGATTCTCCAGGCAAGAACACTGGAGTGGGTTGCCATTTCCTTCTCCAATGTGTGAAAGTGAAGTCGCTCAGTCGTGTCCGACTCTTAGAGACCCCATTGACTGCAGCCTACCAGGCTCCTCCGCCCATGGGATTCTTCAGGCAAGAGTACTGGAGTGGGGTGCCATTGCCTTCTCCGCCTGGGAGACCTTAGGTGTAAGCTAAGATTGTTCCTTTAAAACTGTCCCTTCATAAGAAGGTGTCCCTAGAATCAAAGCCCTTTCTCACTGCTGCCAGAATATAGTCTGAAAGTAGCTGTCTCTACAGTCAAAATTAACCCATTGTTTACAGGAATCTGTGAAACCATATTCTTGATGTTGTGGGAATAGCTTTTACTGAGGAAATGATATAGATCTTGAAAGCAAAAGTCAATCTATTCCTATAGATGGATAAGACCTCTTTGTGATTCCACTCTGAAATATTCCCGTCTTACCCAGCTCTAGGATCAAATGTTTTCTAGAGTGGCAAGCATTCCTTCTTAGTCATCTTTTCTGACCCACTTCCTTTGTTGAGTTTTCTGTCTCCACCATGCAAAAATAAGTGGATTGGTGGTTTGTTCTTGAATGTAACACTTAGTTCCTGTATCTGCCCTTTCTGCCTGGATTCCAGTCTCACCTGCCTATATGTTCATATCCATCCTTGAGGAGCAGGGTAACCTCCATTTGGCTTTGATGAGTTTCTCATTCTCATAATGGTTGGGAAGCAACTATTGTTCATGCTTCTTAACTAGTTAAGCTTAAGACCTGTATATTCACTTTTACATAACTTTCACAGGACTTTGACAGTAACCCTTTGGAGTTTATTGTGATGGGGAATCGCGTGGCCACATTCACGAACTATGTAAGTGTGGTCAGTACGGACTTGCCCCCTAGACACACTAAACATGAGCTGGACACATCACCACTGAACGAAACATTGAGGACTTAGACCCAGGAATTTGTATTTTTTAAAACACTGTAGTAGATTCTAATGACCAACCTGGTAAGGGAACCACTGTCACTTAGTGATTAAAAGTAGAGGGAGAAAGAGGGAGAGGGAAGAGTTGCAAAATCCCCTGGGGCAGTCATTTGGTTACTCCTTAACATTGTCAGTCTCTTCATTGAGGGGTGAAGATCCAGAACTATTTGTTTTGACAGTCAGGTGTGATTTCCTCCTCCGGACTAGGGCTAATTTTTTCATTTTCTTTAAGTAATTGTTTAATTTTTTTAAAGCTAATTTTAAAATAAGCAGTGAGGGGAAAAAAACCCTCAAGATTCCTAGAGGCGTATAACAGGCATTTTTATACTATCTTTCCTTCTCTACCCAAATTATGTCAAATAATACTCTGGTATTATCACACTGCTTTTAAAATTTCCAAAAATTTTTCCCAAGTTATAGCAGATTTAGATCTCACTTTTGTGAAGGACATCCCAGAGACTTTTGCTCATCACTGATGACTACTAAAGGAAATCTACCCTGAATATCCATCGAAAGGACTGATGCTAAAGCTGAAGCTCCGATACTTTGGCCACCTGATGTGAAGAACCAAGTCATTGGAAAAGACTGATTCTGGGAAAGACTAAGGGTAAGAGGAGAGAAGGGTGGTAGAGAAGGGGAAGTTAGATAGCATCACTGACTCAATGGACATGGGAGACAGGGAAGGAGAGGGGAACCTGGTGTGCTGCAGTCCATAGGATCGCCATGAGTCGGACAATGGCTTAGCGACTGAACAACAAAAACAATAACTGCTTCAAAGGGGAACGGTTTCTCTCTCATTCTTATTATCCCTTTTGGAAGGAAATGATTGTCAATATTGAAATTTTGTCATACCCAATTTTAAGTTGGTACAACATGAAGATCCTTCCTGTTCTTTTAATCATCATTATTAATAAGAAAAAAAAGCTTAATTTGGACAAAAAATGTTCTTTCAGGAATTTTTTGAATATGACTTGTTTTATTTGTTTAAATGAGTGATTATAACTTAGAAAACGGATATGGGTGGTCTACTTTAGTCCCAGTAGGCAGTAGTCATAATGTGTAAATTTCCTGTTTTCACCAAGATAAAATAAGAAAATCATTAATTACAAAATTAGTATAAGGCATTTTAGGCCTAATATTCTAGGTACAGGTTATTTGGAACAGTTACCCCACGTCTTTTCTCCAGCATGAACATTGTAGCAATGCTTTTATGGTATGTTAAGAAACGCTGGTCAAGGATTTAGAAGAGAAGGTGGAAAAGAAATGTAGTTTGAGTTCTCTTGTGAATTAACTATATTCTTAGTTCTCCCAATCTTTGGTACTGCCACAGGTATTTGGAAGTTATTCTGTTTGCTTCTCTCATAGTTAAATAGACAAGAGATGGCAGGTATGGTATTTAAAGTTGATACTAATTATAGTTCCTGGAGACGAAAATGGCAACCCACTCCAGTATTCTTGCCTGGAAAATTCCATTTACAGAGGAACCTGGCGGGCTACAGTCCGTGGGGTCACAAAGAGTCGGCTACGACTGAGCACATCAGCACTAATTATAGTTCACTTTCTTTGCCTTATGTATATGCTGCTTACCACATTCTTGTAACAGTTGCAGTATTTATTATTTACTTTTATATAGATGATTCGGTGGAAAGGGCAGGGCCTTTAGTACCCCCAAAACAAAGTTCTGATGCTGAATCTGCTAGAAACTAGCTGCGTATATTTGGCAAGTTGTTGCCTTTAGGTTTTTTGTCCCCATTGATTTATTGGTCAGTTAAAGGTACTGAAATAACCTGTCCCAATTTCTAATCCAGTTTTGTTAGTCTCTGCAACAGTCCATTAGGAAATATTTATTGGCAAAAAAGAAAGAAAATATGTATTAGCACCTGCGGGCTCCCCTGGTGACTCAGCGGTAAAGAATCTGCCTGCAGTGCAGGAGCCACAGGAGATGTGGGTTCGATCTCTGGGTCAGGAAGATCCCCTGGAGGAGGGCATGGCAACCCACTTCAGTATTCTTGCCTGGAGAATCCTATGGACAGAGGAGTCTGTTGGGTTCACGGTCCATAGTGTCACAAAGAGTCGGAAACGACTGAAGCGACTTAGCACACACACATTGGCACCTACAGTGTACTAGGCATTGATTATTATCAGGTGCTGAGAATGTTGCAGTGAATAGAATCACAAAAGTGTCCATGCTTGTGAAGATTAAATTCAAGTGGTGTAATTTAACAATAAATAAGAAAAATGTAAAACCTATTAATAAGATGAATGCACATTTTAGAAGTCTTAAAAAGGAATTGATTTTAGTGGTATTAAGAAAAATAATCTATGTTGGAAGATTTTGTTGATTAGGGAAAATCTCTTTTAAGGAAATTACATTGGGGTAATAATGAGCCAGCTGTGTGAGTGATCTGAAAGGTGAGTGTAACAAGTGCAAAGGCTCTGAGACAGAGAAAAACTTAACACAAAGAAATATTTTGAAAGTAGCTCTTTCAATTTCAGCCACCATTTCCTGACATATTCAGACAATGCTGATCTCCCAGCCCTTAGATATGGCAGTTGTTCAGTTTTTCAGAGACTTACATAGTAACAAAGCATTGGGAGCCTGTTCATTTGGACCTTGAGTCATTGTCATGTTGCTGCACAGGAAATATGAAGGTACTCTTCATTCCTGTGTCAGGCCTGTACCTCTGCTGTAATGGGTGGCACACCAGTTAATCTGACCCAAACCCTCATCCTGAGATGTCTGAGCCTTGTTTACCATTATGTTTTGAGGGCGTGAATGATACACTTGTCCCTTTACTATTAAAATTTGACAAGTCCAAGAAACCCTCCAGTGGATCACCTGAGCACCATATTTTTACTTATTTCCATTATGTAACAGCAACACTTATCTTCTTTAAAAAAAAAAATGTTTTGGCTACACCACACCCCCTGTGGACTCTTAGTGCCCCAACCAGGGATAGAATCCATACCCCCCTGAAGAAGTGCAGAGTGTTAACCACTGGGCTGCCAGGGAAGTCCCAGCACTATTTCCTCTTGATGATCAGGGTCAATGACCCTGTCAGAAAAGTGACTCCTTTCATTTCTTCCTGGTCTCTTGCCATGAAGTGCTTGAAGGGACAGTGCCGTAGCCATAGCTTAAATTTCAGTAGGATTCTCTGTATCCCCTGGTAGAACCTTTCTATTCTGGTAATCCGGTCCTGTAGAGTAGTGCTGTCCAATAGCACATTCTACAGTAATGGAAATGTATAGTGTTTGTGCTATTTATTATGGTAGCCACTTTTTCATGTGGCTGTTGAGCACTTGAAATATGACTAGTACAACTAAGGAACTTGATTTTTAATTTAATTACATTTTAAAATTCGAACAGATATATATGGCTAATTGTTACCTTATTTGGTAGTGGTAGCTCTAGATCAATAGAGCCTAAAAATTGTAGAGATAGGAAACAAATTCTCCAGGTAAATCACTCTTGAGTGGCATGAAGTGGAGTCATTCCAATTTTCATTCCAGGGTTCCCAAACCCACGTATTCTGTGTATTATAGTTATTGATTTGGGCGTATAGAATGTATCCTGAAAGATGACCTTGTCTTTGCAGAATATAATTAGAATGTTCAAGCTAACACCTTACTGGCATCTTTAAGAGATCTCTACTGTGTCAGGCTACCATTTTTTGGTGTGGTAGACTGTGATAGGACCAGTTGGCCATTTGATCATAACTATTAAAGATTGTGAAAATTCAGGATCCTACCACATTTGTGAAGTCTTTAAATATCCAGTAGCTGGTCCAGAGCAGCATATCCCATAATCTGCCTCTGCCTGTTCACAGCTAAAACAGAAAGTTGGCCAATTTTAAGTGGGTACTGTAGCAGGAAAGTTAGAAATGGAGTATTTGTGGTAGAAATTGAGTGTTTAAGCTTGAAATGTGAAGTGATTATGCAACAAAGCTGCCCATTGGGTTCTTGTCTGTCATATCTACCATGTCATAAGATGGGGCAGGCCCAGCAACAGGAACTTTATGGTAGACTTTTCCATTCATGTGAACAAGGGAGTTGGGATTTTTATAGGAATTGTACTGAACAAGTAGATTATTTGGGTAGTATTGCCATGTTAGCAGTATAGTCTTCCAGTCGTGAATGAGTTAGCTCAAAATGTGGGTGCAAACTTAAAATATATTGCTATCAGAAATGGTGCTGAAATTCAGTGTTTTGAAAATCACCCAAATGATCACATCTGTGAGTGCTTCACATTGTATGAAAAGAGATGTGATGCATGGTAAAAATAAACACAGATCTGTGCCGGTTTTACATGTGACAGGCCTCATCTCCACCTCCCACCAACATCCTTAGAATCCAGACCCAGTAATTAGATCCTGCTGGAATATGTTGACGTGGTCCTGTAGCTTCTTCAGTATACAGTGTGTTTTTCCCTTATTAGGCCCACTACTTCTTTAGTTAGGTTATGCTGTGACTTGATTTCAGTTGTTGGTGTAGTGACCAGAAGGAGAAATGAATGTAGGTCCTGAGGGAAATGCACCTGGTTTTACAAGGGTTTACCATGTTTGTAAATGGGGTAGATCTGTCCTCTTAAAAATTTTTATTGAGATGTAATTTATGTACCATAAATTTCACCCTTTTAAGTATATAATTCAATGATTTTTAGTGTATTGCACAACATGGTGATGCAACAATCATCAATATAATTCCAGGATGTTTCCATCACCCCCAAAACAAGCCCTGTGTCCTTTTAACAGTAATTCACATTCTCCCCTTCTTTTTCCCTTCTCAGTCCCTGGTAAGCATTAATCTAGTTTCTGCCTGTGTGGATTTATTTATTCTGAACATTTCATACAAACAAAATCATATAACATGCAGGCTTTTGTGTCTCTTTTCTTTCACTTAGAGTTTTCAAGGTTCATCCATGTTGTAGCATGTATTTCAATATTTTTTAGAGCTAAATAATATGCCATTGTATGAATATGCCACATTTTGTTTATCCATCAGTTGATGAGCATTTGAGTTGTTTCCACTTTTTGACTATTGTTAATTATGCTACTAAGAAGATTTATGTACAAATTTTTGTGTGAACAGATATTTTAAATTCTCTTGGTTATCCTTGAAGTAGAATTACTGGGTTATATGGTAACTCTGTGTTTAACTTTTATAGGAACTGTTACACTGCTTCCTACAGTGACAGCACCGTTTTACTTTCCCACCATCAGTGTATGACCATTACCATTTCTTCACAACCCTGTCAACGCTTATTATATTTTCTGCTTTTTATTTTTATAGCCATCCTATGGTGAGTGATATATTATCTTCTTTTGGCTTATATTTGCATTTGCATAATGCCTAATGATGTTGATCATCTTTTAATGTTTTTATTGGCCCGTTCTTTATCTTCATTGGAGATATATTTAAAT